ACCTGACTTGCCTCCTCGACCGCACGACATCCTACTCACCAAGTTGATAAACACCTGAGGGTGTCCAAGCGGTCCATCCCCACCATCGCAAGCAACGACCCTCTTCTTCGTGAGACGAATCGGTTCCCTGTGAATCATCTCCATGGCGCTCAGAGGCAAAGGTTGCAAGCTGAAATCGATCTGCTCGAAACGTGGTCCTCGCATCGCTTCAGGTCTGGGATTTTGGGATTTGGACCAAGTGGCTGGATAATTTGGAGATTGCTCGGATGGGACGTGAGGTGGTGTGTGAGGCGCTGCTACCACGTTGGCTCGGTTCTCTCGACGACGAGCGGGAGTCTGAGCCTCGCCTGTTGGACGGGCAAAGAATCCGGATGGAGGGGCGCGAGCTTTGGCGCTGCTTGAGAGAGACCTTGCGAAGATTCTGGAGGATGACATGATGCCTTAGAGGAGGCTCCGTGGCTGCGAAGAACTTGATCAGTCGTGTGCCAGGGTTGAGGTGGGCTCACAGCCGATAGAAGGGGTGCAGAGCCTTGTGGATGCAAGACGGGACGATGATGGCAGAGCCCCTTGGATTCCAAGTCGTGAGTCAACAAAGTGAGATGATGAGGTCGGAATAGTGAACTGGTCGCTGGCTGGCAACCTCGGCATGGACACTCAAGACTTGATCGACGAGAGCCTTTATATAGTCACGCGGTCACAACCTCGTCACCGCCGTCCGCTCCGCGGCCGACTACGCGCCGTCGACGAATCACAATCACGAATGAGCTTCCGCCAATTGGGCGGCCGAAGCTGTCACGTGTTGAGTAGCTCAGGATGCTCGGGTATCGTCGGCCGAACTCCACGACTTTCGTCCTGACGTCGTGCACGACACGAACTTCAAGACGCGACGCGGTGCGTGCTGTAGCTATGCCGTGAAGAGGCGCGTCGATTTGTGACCGGGGCACAGACACATGCTTCGCGACGTCACCCATGACCACACGGATTCGTCGATTCGGATTCTCAAGATTCAATCGTGTGAGTAATCAGTGGGGAGAGACTTTTGGACACTTCCATGTTGAGCGATTCAGGCGGTCCCAGAGGCAGGAGCGCTGTGAAAGCAGCCGTCCAAAATGAAGGAACATGGACGCGAAGTGCTGCTCTCCACTATAACCGAAGCCATTCGCAGCAGCACCGTCGCGACAGGTCCATGTGCACTGCGAGGTACGGCCAGGGTGCACGTGCTATTTTCAACACCTTCATCAGCAAAGGAGCTCTACCCATTCGCGCATGTAGACCCACAGAGCTCGAAGCCGCCGCCAAAGCCTCTCGATGCTTTTGTCGAGCACGTGTTTTGCACAGTGAGCTGGGAGGATGCGCACTCCGACGAGGCTACGACAGAGTGCGCAACAGCCAAAGAGGGACAAGGATCTTCGCAGCACACAGGCAGGCTGATATACGCTCTCGAATGCTATCTCTACACCATTCCCGCTCAGCGAGCTGCGGTGCTCTACGTCAGTAAAGTCGACTCTACAGGATGGGCACCTCGAGCAGTCGATGCGAACTTGGTGGACTTTGTCCAAGGATTCGAGAAGCAGTCGTCGAACGCGGTACATCCCAAGTCGCAGCCTACATCTCTAGTTCGACTCACTACCACAGCTTTCCTCTCGCATTTTGCCAGCCTACGACACTGGGAAACCAAACACGCACCGATCACGCATTGTTCAATCCATGTCCTGGCGCGTTCTCAAGGCGCCTATCTCTTCCCCAGCTCTCCAGAAAACCCCTTGAAGCGCGTCTTGCCAGATGGCAAATTGATAGCCTGGTGGAGACAGGTCCTGAGCGATGTGAACGCATCGACGGGCTACAAGGGGAGAAACTTTTACATCGTTCCAGGGTACGACAACGGTACAGCAAGAGAGCTGCTACCTGCCGCGCCGATCGGAGAGGATGATGCGCTTTCGCGATCGAAGTGGGTGTACGGACATCCATACACCAGGGGTTTGCAACAGTCGCCGCCCTTGCCTTTGCACCGCAAGTCTACAGACGGTCGTTCAGATGCGGAACGCATTCACAATGGTCTTAGGTCCCATGGCAGTCCTGCAACTTTGATGCCTCACTTTCCAGACGATCCAAAGAGCCGCTTCATTTCAGAGCTTGCAAGGGACGCTCACGAGCTCGCCAGTGGGCCCGAAACGGCGAGTACAAGCGAGGCAGGCGACGATGATGACGAATCGGACCGAGCCAGCAAGCGCGCTCGATTAGAGGACTCGAACACTGCAGCTCATGGTGAAAGGCTACCAACGGAAACGTCTCAGGCCGCGACGCACGCTCCCGCTCATTCGCTCGCAATGTCCACGCGACAACCCACCGCGCCTTTCAAATCGCTTTTTAAAGAACGCGCAGCCCTAGACGCAATATCTCCGGACGAATTCTGGGAAAGGATGGGCTTCAGACAAGAATGCTGTGCTGGAAACGCCGTAGGCGTCTTTGTCTGCATCTTTGAAGTCTATGAGGCGGGCGAGGATTCGAAGCGAGAGGAGAAGACAGCCGTGCACCAGCACTGTGGGAGCACTGCACTTAGCCCTCAAGCGCTTGCTCTGCCTCCAAAGGTCCTCTCCGACGTCATCTTTCGACATCTGTTGAGGGATGTATGCGATTGGTCAAATTGGGACATGACGAAGGACCTCACAAAAGCGTGGCATGATGCCGTGCTGCGAGCTGTGCTGCGCAAAGGTGGCCTATCACAGACGAAGGATAAGGGTTCGGGTGCGGTTGCGGAACACGCAAGTCCGCAGTTGGACGATTCTCTGCCTGCTGTGCAGGTGGCTAAAGGTGTGCTCTGGTCTGACATTGCTTGTGCCGGCCCTACCAAGGCGCAGTTGATGCGCGCAAAAGAAGATTGGGAGAAAGCGGGCAGACCGTTGCCCCGCGCCATCAGAGAGGAACAGGAGAAGAAGAGCAAGGTCGTGGTGAACACGCTCAATGTCAAGCGCAAGAAAAAACCGTGAAGCGTTGCAAACTCCAGCAATCGCAATGCTTTCCAAAAGTTGCAGTGTGAAAGTGTTTGGGTGTTGCGGCAACAAAGTGAGCAACAGCGGCAACAAGCGAGCAACAGCCTATGAAATGTCGAGGAGCCAGGCGGTGTGTCCGCAGCAAGGCTGTCGATCGTAGGGCATCCTGGATTCGCTTCGAATTTGTCAGAAGCGAGCTGCGTGTTGAACTGGGTGAACAGGATGGCCGCCGCGGCCGCAACTTGCGGCGTAACACGCCTTCGTTGAGTGCAACACTTCTTGACTTTTGGCTGCAGCTGCTGCATGATGATCCGCGCGCAAAGCCACTCACTGACTGAGTCACGCGCGCACATGTGAGGTATACCGGCACGGTACGTACTGCTTTCAACAGCGCACGCACGCGCGCGCTACCTGTTTGGAGCCACACACGCGTCACGCACAGCGTGACCTTGCAGAGGAAAGCATGCATGTCTCGAGAATCCCCAGTGGTGCGTGCACCTCCTCCATCATCACCATCCGCTCCTCGGCGAGGCACTCATTTCGGAACGCATACAAGATCTGTAGTGTAGATAGACGACAAAAGCGTATTCGACGCGCACGGGGAGCGCAGCTATTTGATTTCGAAAGCACTCGTAGACAGCGGTACGCTCGCCTCTCATGGACAGCTCACTAGCTTCCGATTCTGCTGCCGATACGGCAGGCCCAAGCCGAGTCGGAAATGGAGCGATGGAGAAGGGCTCACAGGCAGCGCAAGCAGCGCAGACCGCGCCTGATGCGCAGCAAGATGAAGATCTTTGGAGTAGCATCTTGGACTCGGTTCAGAGCAGCAAAGCTGTACCGCTCAAGAACTTGATCATCATGGGTGAGTGCGGTAGAGGCTGTGCCTGTACGGACGTCATCTGACGGCTCTTGGCACTGCGCCCGCAGGTGAACCTGGGACGGGAAAGACGACGATACTTTCTTCGCTGGCAGCGAGGGCGCCTGCCGGCTTCATCTCTCTCCCTGCTAGCTCGTCTTCAAATTCGGTCGGAGGCCAGGCCCAAGCAGGAGTGTCTGGAGCAGCCACAGGAACGCCAAATTTGAGCGGCCCAGAGCATGACCTGCAGACCAACGCCGAAGTCTCGGGGACGGCAGACTTTGGCATGGGGTACGGGTACTGGGACGTCGGTGATGAGGACGGAGAGGGTGAGAGTTCCGTGTTCGAAGCGTAAAGGGTGTGGATCGTTCGTCTAACGCTTCTTCGCCCGCAGACACGTTGGCGCGGGTTGGCGTCTACCAAGTCCCCTCTTCGCACCCAGTTCACCTGTCTTTGCTACCGTTTGCGCTCGCTGCGTCGTCCTCCGATCCAACGAGCACAGGCCCTGCCGCAAGCGGATCCTCCTTGCGGCCAAGTACGTCTTTGCAGGCCGGCCTCTCATCTACCGCTACCTCGCCGAAGCCTTCCATGACGGCTATCAAAGACTCCTTGTTCATGATCGTGCTTGACTGGCAAGCGCCTTGGACCTTCTTGGAGCAGCTGTCTACCTGGCTGGACGTTGTGAGAGGGCTGCTGGAGGACGCCGAAAATGCTGGCGCAAACATCGAGGAGAGGGCCAGATGGACCAAGGAGAGAGCCCTTGCAGACGAGCTTAGGGAGCAGCGTGAGTAAGGCAGAAGCCTGCTTCAGTGATGCTTCGATGACTGACATGACGTACTCTCCCAGTTGAGGCTTACATTCGCTCCTATGCGGAGCCCGCGCAGACCACAGATGGAGTGCAAGCCACTGCAGGCCCGAACCCTGCGCTCACAGATCCGTCATTGCCGTTAGGAGAGGGAGTGCTTGAGCACAATTGGGGCGTACCGCTTGTGATCGTTTGCACAAAGGTGAGTCGTGCTCGCGATGGGCGTGTCACGCGTCTGACGTTGGTTTCTCGCCTCTAGGCCGACACGATACCACAACTCGAGAGGGATCGCGAGTTCAAGGAGGAGCAATTTGATTACATACAGCAGGTGCTTCGAACCACTTGCTTGAAATGTGAGGGTTTGCAAGGTGGTCAGAGGCTAGACGCGAGACTCACTGACCCGCCACCTTCATTCAGACGGCGCTGGACTCTTCTTCACAGCGCAGTCTCGGCCGCGGACGTTTGAGGTGCTGCGCTCTTACGTCTTGCATAGGCTTTTCACCCCGCCAGTGCCAGCACGGCTCACCTCTGCGACTGATGGCCCTCATAACCGTGGTGCAGACGCAGGCGCAGCTCCGTCAAGCGTGATAGCTGGAGGTGCGCTCTCTTCGCGATTTCCATTCACATACCGATCATCAACGATCGAGCGCGATGAGCTCGTGGTGCCTACGGGTTGGGACACTCGGGGAAAGATCAAGGCGCACAGGGATGGATTTGATGCAAACGCCACTTCAAAGGGCTGGGAATGGGACATGCTCGTCGAACAGGTCAGACGAGAAAACAGGCTGGAAAAGGGCAGCAAAAATTTGG